ATCTTAATTGCTGCTAGCCAGTTCTCCTTTCAGTGTATGTTAAGTGTTTGCTATCTATTCATTGTGCCATCTAATCTGGGGCAGCTGCTGACCTTGTGTCTTAAGTGTTTGTCCTCTGGCCTGGGGCAGCTGCTGGGTCAGGTGAGTTTGTCTGATTATCTCCTCACTGGGGAAGGGAGGGGGTGTCCAGCTCTCATCAGTGTTAATCTAAAAGTCCTACATGGCTTGGCACATGGTTAATTGCAGAACTGCAGTCTTCATTTGGAATTGACCTAACCAGTGCAATCTACCCAGGAGAAACTACAAGTAGTGTTCCACTTCAGGGGTGAGAAGGGTGCTGCTTTTCAGTGGCAGGATTGGTCCTTTAATGAAGCCTCTTAATAGACTTCTGGTTGGTTCCCATGCTGCCTGCCTTCTGGAAGCTGTTCTAAATAGATGTCTATGGAGATTCTCAATCATACAGGTCACCTGGACTTTCTTTGTTTTTTCCTTGAAAATGTTTTGGATCTCAGAGCTGAAGAAGGTTCTTGGATGAGAAGCAAAACATTTTCAAGGGAAAAAAACCAAATAAGGCCAGTTGTCTTTTGGAAAAGCACCTTTGTTTTAAACAGAGCTCTTCTGGAAGGTACTTAGGCCTTGATTTCAACTTGCTTTAGTTACCATTTATTTAATTTTATTTCATATTTTCATTGGTTTGTGGAACTTTCTTTTCTACTTATTGTTTATTGTATGTTGTTCCTTGTGTATGTTATGTAATAAGCTGCTCTGAATCCTCAGAATTTAGCACTTTGTGAATATGATTGATTGATTAATCAGCAATAGGGCCAAGCTCCCTAATGTAGCTCTATCAATTTTGCTTTGTAAAATGGAATTGTTTGCTAATATATTAAGTATATTATATATTTACTAGAAGCAATGATCATAGCCCTAGTTTTCTTTGTTTCTTTTTATCCCTAACACAAAACTTTTCAAGCAGATACATAGCACATAACATAGAATCACATTGATTTAACTTCCAGAGCTAATGAGTTAGAAGTGTCAAATATATCTTTGCTTTGAAAGGTAGCAAGGACAAGAAGGACGCCATTTTTCAATAAAAAATTGGAAAAACAGAATATATTGCATGCACAATTAGAGCCATATACAGGATTTCTGAGATTTAATCATGTGGATGGAATTTCTAGTCACTCCTTATTGTAATAAATATTTCAGTTTTCATTGTTCTATTCTAATTTGTTACATTTGAAGTACTTCCATTTATTCTAGTTTTAATAATCCTTTTCTTTTTGTTTTTCTCATTTTAAGGGTGCTGGGAAGAAAACCTTAGCTAAAAAAATAGCCCAGTTTTGGAAGTGCACTCTTGTAGATGGTAAATATAAAAACTATATTCATTTTACTGTATTTCATTCTATGCATGTTTATATAATTTCTAACATTCCAGAGGCCGATTTCATAAAAAAAGGCTGCAATATTTTCATGAACTAATGTATACATTCAGAAGGGTTTGACAATGTATATTCTTCTGTTGGAGAGATTTTAAATTTTTAGCAGATACCACTGGGAATATTACCATATTTCTACAAAAATGAGGTGCAGAAAAATGGGAAAAATAGAATCTAATGCTTTGGAACTTGATTTCTGATTGTGAAATAAGATATTCTCTGCCCACCCCTCTTAAAAAAAGCTGTTTTAAAGATGTTGATAGTAAAGCTAACTCTTTTCTGCTCATTTACAGGTATTATCAATGGCAACATGGACAATATCCATATTACACACAAAGTGTAATAGTGTAATATAGTTAGAGAATTACTTAAAACAAGAAAAAAATAGCCCACTCTATAAAGTTAATATTTGTACCATCAATCTCTAAATTAAAAAATCATAGTATTCTATGATTTCTGTGTGATTTAACTTGTATCCTACTTTTCATATTCCAATGTTGTCTCCCATTTCATTATGGTCATACAAATATAACAAATATAAGATACAAATATAACACCACCAGTTGCAATATACATTTTTGAAATGAACCCTAACAAAGTCAGTAATAGTGACTTAGATTAGAATAGGAAAGGAAAAAATATCGTAATGGCAATTGGGTTTTTTTGTTGTTGTTAGTTGCGCAGTCGTATCCGACCCATCACGACCCCATGGACAACGTTCCTCCAGGCCTTCCTGTCCTCTACCATCTTCTGGAGTCCATTTAAGCTCACGCCTACTGCTTCAGTGACTCCATCCAGCCACCTCATTCTCTGTCGTTCCTTTCTTCTATTGCCCTTAAGCTTTCCCAGTATTAGGCTCTTCTCCAGTGAGTCCTTCCTTCTCATTAGGTGGCCAAAGTATTTGAGTTAATAAATTGCTTCTGCTAATCTCTGGACTATTTATAAATCTTCATTGTATGAAGAATGAAAGAGTCTGCTCAGAGGTTAAAAAAAAAGTCCAGATGGTGGGCATGGCCATGCTATTGAAGCCTCACCCCTCTGTATATTTGTGCAACGTAAGGATTCCTTTAGTCTTATGGAGGATATCCCTTTAAATCTTATAGAAAATTTATCTTTAGCTGCGTCAATTTCAGTAATAATCTGCAGATTTTCTTCAAGGTATTTTACCAACAATTTATGACTAAAACATGCTTGAGTCCAGCCTTTCCCATTCCACTTAAACTGCTCTTGCCATGATTAATTTGTTGGATGAAAAATCTTCATCAGGGTCCAGTCCAAGCCAGGGATAAACAAAATGGAGACTGCTTTAGAAAGAAGTTTATTGAAGAGGAATGCCAGACAGAAAGATGACTCTGGGAAAGCTGACCACATGTAGCTGGGAGTAGTGGGTTTTTATACCTTCTTGGGCTTTTGAGGTTGTTTCCTGTTGTGTGTCATGAACTTTGACCTGAGATTCTGAGCATGTCTTTTTGGTATTCTGATGGTGGTGGGTTAATCCTATTATGTCCCAAAGGTCATGTCTTTTAGAGTTTGGGTGGGGTATGAAGATTTTAGGGGTCTTTGTCTTTCTAATCTCATCAGCTTCTAGCTTCCTGGCTCCAACCTTTCTGAATAGGATTATCAGATCTACATTTCTACAGATCTGGTTTTTGCTTCGGGCAGAGAGACTTGGGGGTCTCTATTAATTTCAAGTTTTACAGTCATAAGTACTTAATAAACAACTTGGTGTCTGAGTTCCTTTATCATTCAGTGGTACATATTAACTTTCACTCAAAATATTCAATACTACACCATCCAGTATTTCCCTGGTCCTCTCTTCTTCCAATAATAATAATTTTTCCACACTATGCAAGTATAATTCATACTGCCATTAATACCTATACAATTAAATATAAACATCTTCATCACATGTTTCTAATGTTATACATAGTGTTGATAATATCAGTTTGTACTGTCCTCTCTGGCCAAAACATATCTCAAATGTATTTGCAATCAAAGTTCCCTTATTCAATCCATATCCTGTTTTTTTCTTTTTTCAATTTTAATTTCCCATTCTTTTATTTCTAACAGCTGTCTATTCTTTTAATCATATTCAAGCATCCATTAGATGGTATAATACCTCATCTAATTAGTCAGGACCTCTATTTTCTTCAGTCTTACTTTAGCTTTCTTCCTTTGCCAACTAACTTTGAAAGTCAGTGCATTTAGGTCACCAAGTATTTCTTCCTCTGTTTCTGTAAATATTATTTGGAATACAAAAGACAATTTAATTAAAGTGTTTTTGTAAAAATGCTTAATCCATTTATATTCGTTAAACAGCCTCCTTTTTCTTTCTCCTTCAGTCTCTCTTTTAGTTTCTTGTTCCCCAGTTTTCAGCATTTCTCCTAACAGCTGTGTCATCCATTCTATCAATAATTCTTCCTTGTCGTCAAGTATGTTCTGCAGTCTTGAAAAGTAACTTGAAAGTAATTTCCGGTATTATATCTGGGTCTTCCAATTTTTATTTATCTGTGCCTGTCTGATGGTTTCTTCTTTTGAATCCTCTATCTTTATATCAGTTTTCTCTATTTTTTCTTTTGGTTTCTGAGTTGCTAGCTCATTCTTTATGGTCATTTTCTGAACATTTTTTGCTTGTAGGTTTAAGTTGGAGAGTTGCTCATTTATGTTATTTAAATTATTTTTGGTCTCCTCATGATTTAAAACAATTGTCTCTTCAATTGATTTCAACATGGAAAAAAATTCTTTCTGAAGTCCATTTACATTTTCTTTTTGATTATCCATGTTTCTTCCAGAGAGAAATAGTCCAGAAGCAACTTTCCCACTATTTCGTAATATTTCTTAATAATTCTTGAAACTAATAGTCAGTCAATATTTGTAATCCAAGCCAGCCAATTCAGAATGGTTTATTGTCTCTTTCATATAGATAAAACAGCCAAAGGATTTTCCCCCTTTTCCTAGCTGCAGTCTGCAAAAGTGAAAGTTTCCAGGAACAACAAAGAGCCTCAATAAGTCCAGGCTTCGTGCCAAATTTTCTTTAAGCATAATAAATTGTAATGCCAAGGTTCACTACTAGATGTCACTAACATCCATCTTCCAGCTTTTAAGTCCAAACTTATTTCACCAATTTTCCAAATATCTTTTCAAAAAGAAAGTCTTAAAAATACTTTTAGTCTCCAAATTTGCCAGAGCTATGTTTCTATATTAAATCCAAATTAATCTTGTAGTTTTCTCTAATTTTCCCCACACATAAAGTTATTCACCGCTTCTCTTTTCCTGAGAGAACGGGGCAGAAAATCCCCTTGTCTCTATCATCTGGGGGATGATAGAGAATTCTTTTTTCCAGGAAGAAGTTTTAAAATTATAAAGAGAAGTTACGTTCTCACCCAGTTCCATCAGCATTGTTCAGGAGTTGCTAGTTAGTGCCTTTCTTGGGTTGTCAGTGGCTTCTGGCTGGTCACATAAATGCGGCCAGTCTTTCTTCTGCTGGTTTGAAGGGCTTCTTCAGATCAAACGGAGGGGCCACTGCCCCTCCACGATTGACGAGGGTCCTGTTCTTCTTCGTCGCCTCTCCAGGGTGACTTTAGACCCCTTTTAGGGTCCCCAGAAGAGCAAAATCGGACGTGGAAAATGGAGCCCCATTTTCCTGTGCCCATTACGCCACAGCATCTAACCTGGAAGTCTCCAGTTTCTGCCTAAGATTTTTCTATTATTCCTTTAGAGAAATATATTCTACTTTTTTTAATATTCCCCAAAATATTTCTTTCTCGGGGGGGGGTTGTTGTCATCCTACAAATTCACATAGGGAGTATGGAATAACTGAAGTGATTAGAGGGAAATATATATTCTCCATCAGGTACAACTTTTAGAAATGTATTTTTGTTTTTTAAATTAAGTTCTCCCTCAGGGATATTCTTGCCCACAGAGAGACTACCTTTGGGAGCAGTAGTTCTTACAATAAATTTGCAAGAGTCAATAAAGAATATAGCACAGCAAGCTAGTGATTGGATTCTGGCTCATTTCTTTAGGATTAATTTGGCATCAGCAGGTTTCTGAATAAAAACCTAAAACTATGAGGCAGTATGTACCTGATTTACCAGTTTGTTCCTAGAAGCCTCATTTCTTTGAAGTACTATCATTAGTACATAATAACAGTGATTTCCCAAGAATCCTGTGGTAAGGCTAAAATGTCTGAATTTTTAAAATTGCAATATAATTTTATTGAAGTTCTGAAACAGAATTTATTTATATGAGCCTGTTCTTGTTAACTGCTACTTTAAAATCAGAGTAGGCAACAATTAGAACAACGTGGGAGCCCTCTGGTGGCTACAAGTGTCTTTTATTTTGTGAAAATCATAGTCAATTATTAGATTATGAAGCACACAGAACCATAATTAGACTTTTCTATTTAAATGGGAGTTTTAACGACAGTGATAATTATCAATCCATGATGGGTACTCTGGAGATCCAGAATTGGCTTTAGAGAAAAGGATATTGATTCCTTCTTCTCCAAAGCTGTAATAATTGAAGAATAAAGAAATGAAAATATTTAATATTGTTTTAGAATAATTCAGTAATATTTGGACTCTGGTCAAATTATAATAGGAAGATACAATACAGCTATTGTACAGGTAGTTCTCAAGTTACAACAGTTCATTTAATGACCATTTGAAGTTACAATGGCACTGAAAAAAACAGACGTGACTTTTTCACACTTAAGACTGTTGCAGCATCCCTCTGGTGACATGATAAAAATTCAGATGTTTGGCAACTGACTCATATTTATGACAGTTGCAATGTCCCAAGGTCATGTGATCCCCTGTTACAACCTTCTGAGAAGCAAAGTCAATGGGGAGGCAAGATTTGCTTAACAGCCGTGTTACTAACTTAACAACTGCAGTAATTCACTTAACTGTGGCAAGAAAGGTCATAAAATGGGGCAAAATGTCTTGCTTAGTAAGAGAAATTTTGGGCTCAATTGTGGCCATACTTCCAGGACTACCCATACTATACATGCAGTTGTGGTGGAGTCATTATAAAGAACAATAGTAGTGTTTTAGTCATTTGGGAACCCATTTTGATTCTTGGCCAATTAATGTGCATTTAAAGCAGATCTCCAAACTTTACTTAATAGGAATCAAAAAGGTTAGCATGTAAAAGAAGAAACCAGATGAAAGGCCCTGAGTAACATTGCCTATCCTTTCCCTTCTAACTTCCCTCCATTGGATATCATGTATCATCAATGTATGAAAGGAGAGTAACATTACTCTCCTCGTCTCTTGATCATTATATATTTGCAGAATGTATTATCTCTTTGTAGGGAGAGAAATACATCACTGCAGGTGGATGATTATGGAAAAGGAATGCATGATCTTCAATATTAAAAAAAAATCTGTTTTGCATTATACAGTACTGCATATATACATGCACATAGCACCATCAAACCAATGTTTTATTTTGTTTCTATGTGATATATCCTTTTAGCTTTTGAACTCATAAATGAAAACATAACAGCTGAAACAGAATATGGACTGAAGGTAAAGCCTGGACTTATTTATAATTCTTTCAAAGGGCACTATTAGTTAAAGTAAACCAGTTCAGCTCACAACTTTGAATTATTGCAATTTGTTTGGATTTGAACTATGGGCAATGAACCAAGCTCAGTGGCAGACCACATGTTTTGTGCACAAGTTCATTTTTTGGCATCTCCAGTGTAAAAAAATGCAGTAGATAATATACAGTAAAGACTGTAAAAAGAATTTATCTGGTGTCCTTGAGGAGGTGCTATAAAAGAAAATAGAAAGGAGAAGAGGAGAGGAGAGAGGGGGGAACAAAGATTTGTGGGAGTTGTAGTCCAAAATATAAAAGAAGCAATACTGAGAACATCTGGATAACTTTTTTTGATATATATTTTGATATATATTTTTGTGTATTATTTATATATCCCCTATTATTTATTCTCAATACAATTCAATATTTTACATTGTTCTCCCTAAGTGTAAGGACCTGCTTTACCAAGGTCAAAATGTTCCTGAAGAGTTGGTGATAAAGATGCTTATGATCAAGCTGGAATCTCCAGAGATTAATCACTTTGGTATGAATTACTGCATCTTTTTTCCCCCACTATCTATTAAGCAAGCTCCTCATAATCCTAGAAATATATACCTGTGATTTATTTATTTGTCTGTCTGTTTTGTGGATTGTATGGGATTTAGAAAGCCAGTTTAGTGTAGAGGCTAAGACATTAGGCTAGAAACCAGGAGACTGTGAGTTGTGATCCTGGCTTGGACACAAAGTCATCTGGATGCCCTTGGGCCAGTTATTTTCTATCAGCCCCAGGAAGGAGGCAATTGCTAGCCATTTCTTGAAAAACCTTGCCAAGACAACTTCAGGGATTTATCCAGGCAGTCTCCAAGAATTGGACAAATTTTAACAGAAGAAATAAAAAGAACCAGTATCGTGTAATGGTTTAAGGCATCAGGCTAGAATCCAGGAGACCTTAAGTTCTAGTCCCACCTTAGGCATAAAGCCACCTGGGTGACTTTGGGCCAGTCATTTTCTCTCAACTTTAGCAAGGAGGAAACTGCAAACCACTTCTGAAAAACTTTTCCAAGTAAATAGCAGGAACTTGTCCAGGCAGTCGCTGAGAATTCCAAATGATTGAACAGGGGGAAAGGGGGGAGGGATTTAGAGGCTGCCCAGTTCCCAGGCAACTCTTGGCGGCTCTGTAAGGCAGTGGGGTTGTATTTTTGTGTTAGCTATTTGCTAACTTTGAGCCTAAGTATTACACAAAAGAAAATACGGTACCCTGATAAAAATGAGTGCCAGGAGATTAGAGGAGAAAGTGGACGTTTTTAAAATTGTAGAAGAAAAGTGTAGGATCTCTGGTTTACAGGAGACCGTTGCTCTTTCAGAATTGGGCACCTCTCCAGATCTCTCCTCTTCCTTTAGGAAGGAAAATAAGAAGAAGTGTAGTAAAGCATATATGGAGATCAGAGGAGAGAGTGTGGATTCATTCCAGTGTGCTGCAGATGCCAAAAAAACCAACACAGTTCAGGGCTGCATTAACAGAGGGATAGAATCAAGATCACATGAAATGTTAATACGTGCCTTGGTAAGACCACATTTGGAATACTGCATCCAGTTTTGGTCACCATGATGTAAAAAAAAGATGCTGAGACTCTAGTAAGAGAGCAGAGAAGAGCAACAAAGATGATTAGGGGACTGGAGGCTAAAACATATAAAGAACGGTTGCTGGAATTGGGTATGTCTAGTTTAATGAAAAGAAGGACTAGGGGTGACATGATAGCAGTGTTCTAACATCTCAGGGGTTGCCACAAAGAGGGAGTCAAGCTATTCTCCAAAGCACCTGAAGGCAGGACAAGAAGCCGTGGATGGAAACTAATCAAAGAGAGGTCCCTTCCAACTCTGTTATTCTATTCCTATTTCAAGGGGCTGGTAGGTGCAGGCTGATTATACTGCCCCAGCTTGCCAGATAGACTTCCAATAGCTTAGGCATTGAAATACATCAGATTTGACACATCTTGAAACTGCTATTGGTTGGACTAGAAGACCTCCAAGGTCCCTTCCAACTCTCTTATTCTGATCTAAGAGGAAAATACTGTTTTCATACTGGTAAAGACAACTTAAAGCTGTTCGTGGGTTGAAGAAAAGATGAGGACACAGCAGTATAAAATTTCCAAGGATTGGTTGTACTGTGGTTAGATACAAACGAGGAAAGACCCATAGTCATCCCATATTTACTGTAAAATAGATGTGTGATTTTTTTAAAGTATAAAAATATTTGTATTTCCCCCGTTGCAGGTTATGTTCTCTGTGATTTCCCTTCTCTTTCTGAGGATTTCATGTCTACACCAGAACAAATCGACGTAATTAAAAATTTAAAATTAAAACCAGATTTCCTGATTAATATTAAGGTAATCAGCATTTGAATGTTCTTAGTAAATCTTGTATTTATTTTATAACTGCGCATCATACCCTTACAAATTGTACTTCATAAAGCCATCCTTGTCTCCTTTAAACCCATTGTCATAAAGGTAGAAGTTGCCAACTGCCTTTTATTAGTTTTAAAAGAAACTCTACCAGCACATTAGCAACAAAAGCTTTTGTTCTAAACTCTTAGAAAGAAGAGTTACAAAGTTATCTTATTGGATTTGAAACAACTTCCATC